ATATAATGCTATGTTTTTTTCTCGCTTAGATGCATGATGTAAGTATGTACCTATTAGGTACTTACTTTTATTTAAATAATGTTTTTTTGTTGTAATTTTCTCTTCCTACTTCTACATTATACCTAAAAAATAGGTAAAGGTAAGTATATCCCGTACTAGACTGGAATAAGATTATGCATGACGAAATTGCGATACTTTTGCGAGACTCTCGTACGAGACGCGAGACAAAACGAGACTCGTGACTGCGAGACGAGACTCGAGACAAGACTTCATATTCCATCGGCGAGACGAGACGAGACTTTATGAAAGTCTCGTCTCGTTGGTCTCGTGTGAATCACTAGTTTCCTCAAGAACAAATTATGTCGATCCAAAATAATGTCGATGTTGATATAACTATGAACATTTTGTTGATTTGATGAAATAATGATCATTTTGATGAGAATATATCTTTGAAACAACATACAAGATTTCTTATTTTGATGTAGCAATGAACTCGTTTCGAACGGATCATTTGCTTTAATAGAGTAACGAAATATGTAATATCAATGAAATATTTTGTTCATTCTACATCAACTCACATTTTCTCCTCTAGATGGCGATTATTTCGCGTCGTCTATGCATGCCTCGAATTCATTATATACGTGAGGCCAGATTTTTCGTCATTGAAATATCAGCTGGATAAATCGAACTTAGGATGATTAGCAAATCCGAAATAGTTTTGCATCAGCTGAAGGGAAGTAAAGACTGAAAATCTATGCTAGAAGTCGACTAGTTTACTAGTTTTCTAGTTTAGTTCATTCTTTTGATGTGAAATTTCAGAAAATTCACAAATTAATACTGAATTTGATTCAACAAAACAATTTGTCGAATGAAAATACAATTTCTCTTGAATAAACGAAATATTTCATTGAATTAACCGAATATTTCATTGAATTAACCGAATGTTTCTTTGAATCAACCAAATATTTTATTGAATCAACTAAATATTTTATTGAATCAATATCTTGTTATTTTGAATCAAACAAAATGTGCTTGATTGAATAAGATCCAGAGTTCATGCAAGACATATTTACTCAATTCAAACTTCAAATTCGCTCTGAAACATGAAACATGATATAGATTTACTCATTCCAAGATTATATTTTGTCGTGCATATATGACACTTTTATTTGCTTGATTCGATTAAATTTTGCTTGATTCAACAAATCCTTTTTTTCCGTGTGAAGAATCATTTCACCATCAGAATAAGTTCATGTGATGAAAATTATATACAGAGTCAACTGGAATAATTGAAACTTGAGATGATGGAATTGGTGTATGAATACTATATTTCGAAGTAAGATTGACAAATGAAAATTCCAAGATGGCGACTGGGAACACTTGTGAACACATTAAGTGCCATTTTCAGGAGTTTGAGGAAGATGGGCTACAATGCCTTGAAGTAGGCTCACGGATAGTATCAATCATGATTATTGTTGATAACGAAAAGTCAATAGTCATCTTCTAGTCTGTGAGAGCCAATTTTTATATGAGGTGAATAATATTTGTTTACTTTTTAATTACGGCCCGTATGGATTGGCGCCCAACAACAAAGGTACCGCCGAGATGTTTGATTAACAGCTATGACTGTGCACAAAAATATCGATCATTACTTCTTGTACAGAATGGAATTTCACGTGTAGGTACCAGCAATATGAGCAATCCCTGGTATGATTATGATAATGAGGACAGTATCAGGAAGATTTCTATCACATGTAGGTAGAGTCAACAATTTTTGTCATCTCGGTATAAAGTTCATCAGTTCATTTACTATACTCTCTATCGTATTCCTTTTCACAGGATGATATTGTGAAAAGTTAAGCTAACTTGGCACCCCTATAGTGAATCACTCTAACAAGCAATTCTCCTAGGAAATCAGAGAGATTTAGGATTGAGGTGAATCAAGACATGAAAATTTCTTTTCATTCAGATATTTCAGAATCTTTTGTTACAGCCTGCTTCTAGATGGAGTACACTCTGATTCAAACTATAGGAAATATGTCACAAGGTATAATCAACTTTTTGCTATCACTGATGCAAGTTATTCTCACTCTTCAACTACTCCCATTACTCTAGAAGTATCTCTGGAGTCTGATTATTTTGGTTTCTTCCTTCTTCCTGAACTTACTTTAGAGTGGATGCTTCATCAGACTCGTGATGGGTATAACTTCCACTCACCTTGAAAGTATTTCTGATTTTCGAATAATTGGTAGTCGAAATTCCGATAATTCGTTTGTTCAAATATAAAATGTACAATGAATGACTATAAAATATATACAAACATAATAATAGTGCTAATTGTACGAAGCCTTCTCCTTCAATAATACTTGTCGACGAAAATATCATCTTATCATCATATTATTATCATCATATTATCATCATCATATTATCATCTTATCAATAACACAAAAAAAGCAGTTTCGATAGAATTCATCACTACTCCTCTTACATCGTCAGCCATTCCTATAATGAACATCTGTGTTACAAACATGCTTGCATCGGAGTCAACAGAATACCTAGGTCTTGAATTAGATCATAAACTTAGTTTTAACGGTCAAGTTGATTCCTTATGCAGAAGACTCAATAGTAAATATTTTGCTTTTTCAACTTTGAAATCGAATTTCCATAATAACTACCTGATCAACATGTATTATGCATTTGTATATTCGGTCATCAGTTGCAACATAATTATATGGGGCAGGGCCACGGAAACCCCTAGAGTTTTTATCATCCAAAAGAGATTCATAAGACTCGTGTTTGATCTGGAACCATAGAGAGTCCCGTAGAAGCACATTCATCGATAACGGAATCGTCACATTCACCTCTATATATCTATCTAAATTATCAATATTCACCTTCAATAATATGGGAAAGCTGAATAAAACTAAAAACTACCACGGATACAATACTATAGAAAGAGAAATGGTCTCCGTTTGCATCTTCCACTCAGAATGCAGCAAAGGAAATCCCCACTTTATGCTGAAGGCTAATTGTTCAATCTGCTATCAGAGAGCATAAAATCTATTCGATGTCCAAACACATTCAAGGTACAGTTGAAAGAAGTTCTGCTCCTCTGTCGACCTCTTAAACTCCCCCTTATTATCCGCATACGGATGATTCTTCTCAAGCACAAATCTATTCCAATATAACATTATTGTTCCTATCGTAGATCGTGCTCGACCTTCCAGTTTTCAAAGTGAAGGAGTTTCTCTTCGGGAAGTTATCAGGCCTAATTAATGGCTCGAAACAGTACTCCAAGTTGATGGAGGATTCCGGGGGTTTCGAAAACTCCTCGTCCTGGGGGTAGTTATAGATGCTGAAGAGGGTGCTGTTCAGAGAACACCACTTCCTCTCCCAGAACACGATGTTGTTCTGCTCGTCGGCTTTTCCCAAGGTGAGAAATCCGGAGAGCTTGGCGGCCAGCTTGAGGTCCACTTTCGTGGCGAACGTCACGTGGTTCAGTAAACGCGAGTCACTCAGCGGGTGGAATTACAAGTATTGTTACATTATGGGAATCCTATAGTGAATGTGAATGACTCCTATAGTGAATGAAATTCTAAATCTAAATCACATCAACAAGCAATTCTTTTAGGGAATCAGGAACTGGAACGTATCAAGAGATGAAAGATGCTTTTTTCATGGCAACTACTCAGACGTTTCAGCATCTGTAGGCCAGTCTGCTTCTGGACGTAGCACACCTTGAGTGAACCAAACTCTAAAAAATCTGTCGATAGGTATATTTGATTTTTTTTATTACTAAAACAAGTTGTTCTTGGTCCCATTGCTCTAGATTCTAGAAGTATCTGTAGAGTCTGAGTCTTCTGGTTTATTCCTACTTCCTGAAAACACTCCAGAGTTGGTGATCTATCAGACCTGTGAAAGGTGTTGCTGCCCCTTTACTCGAAATTATGTCTGATTTAAGAATAATCAGAAGTTAAAAATTTCAATATTCTGTTTATTCAAATATAAAATGTACAATAAATAAATATAAAATATACAAACATAATAACACTGCTTATAAATTACACGAACTCTGTTCCTTCAATAATATTCGTCGACAAAAATCAGTCTATCCCATTCTTTCAGACACGCCAAAACTGAGTCCAACTCCTCAGTCCACCTCTTGAATTCCTCCTTACTATCCGCATACAGATAATACTTCTCAAGGACAAAGTTGTTCCTCCTCCTCAAAATAACATTGTTGCTATCATTGATCGTACTCGGCCTGCCGGTTTTCAAGATGAAGGAGTTTCTCTTCGGGAAGTTATCAGGCCTAATTAATGGCTCGAAACAGTACTCCAAGTTGATGGAGGATTCCGGGGGTTTGGAAAACTCTTCGTCCTGGGGGTAGTTGTAGATGCTGAAGAGGGTGCTGTTCAGAGAACACCACTTCCTCTCCCAGAACACGATGTTGGTTTGCTCGTCAGCTTTTCCCAAGGTGAGAAATCCGGAAAGCGTGAGGCCAGCGTGAGGTCCAATTTCGTGGCGAACGTCACGTGGTTCTGTAAACGCGAGTCACTCAGCGGGTGGGATTACAAATATTGTTACATTAGGACTCCTATAGTGAAGCCCATGACATTCCAAATCTGAATCACATCAACAAGCAATTCTTCTAGGGAATCAGGAACTGGGACGTATCAAGAGATGAAAGTTACTTTTTTCATGGCAACTACTCAGACGTTTCAGCATCTGCAGGCCAGTCGGCTTCTGGACGTAGCACACTTTGAGTGAATCAAACTCTGAAGAATCTCTCAATAGGTATATTTGTTTTTATTTGTTACTGAAGCAAGTTATTCTTACTCCACAATTGCTCTAGATTCTAGGAGTATCTCTAGAGTCTGAGTCTTTTAGTTTATTCCTACTTCCTGAACACACTCTAGAGTTGGGGCTCTATCAGACTTGTGAAGGGTATTGCTGCCCCTTCACTTAAAATTATGTCTGATTTGAGAATAATCAAGTTGAGAATTCTAATATTCTGTTTATTCAAATAAAAAATGTACAATAAATAAATATAAAATATACAAACATAATAACACACTGCTTATAAATTACACGAACACTGTTCCTTCAATAATATTCGTCGACAAAAATCAGTCTATCCCATTCTTTCAGACACGCCAAAACTGAGTCCAACTCCACTGTCCACCTCTTGAACTCCTCCTTACTATCCGCATAGAGATAATACTTCTCAAGAACGAAGTTGTTCCTTCTCCTCAAAATAACATTGTTGCTATCATTGATCGTACTCGGCCTGCCGGTTTTCAAGATGAAGGAGTTTCTCTTCGGGAAGTTATCAGGCCTAATCAATGGCTCGAAACAGTACTCCAAGTTGATGGAGGATTCCGGAGGTTTGGAAAACTCCTCGTCCTGGGGGTAGTTGTAGATGCTGAAGAGGGTGCTGTTCAGAGAACACCACTTCCTCTCCCAGAACACGATGTTGTTCTGCTCGTCGGCTTTTCCCAAGGTGAGAAATCCGGAGAGCTTGGCAGCCAGATTGAGGTCCACGGTCGTGGTGAAGGTCACGTTGTTTTGCAAGCGCGAGTCACTCGGCTGGTGAGCAATGTGGCCGGTGTTTTTGTTCTGGGTGATTTGGTTTTTGGTGATGACGAAGGCCCCGCAAGAGGTGAAGGAGGATTTGAGGACTGCGGATTCTTGTACTTCTAGGGTGTTGATGTTTTCGTAGTAGATGCGGAATATCGGGCAGAGATTCTGGGATTTCTGAAAATACAAAAATACAACATCATAATAAATAATGAATACGCTTTTATTCGCACAATTGAATATATAAAAATATAAAAGTACGAAGATGTAGAGATACAGTATACAAAATTACAATATACGAAATAAAAGATACACATTCACAAAATACAAAAATACAAGATTCGATAAGTGTATTGAATGTCATGAAGTCCATGAAAACCAACAGTGTTTCCAATATCTCCCTCAGTTGATTTTTCTGTCCGTTTTTGTCTTCGTTTTCTCACGATACATTTCCTCAATTTGCAATGAGTGTCTGAGATATACAATTCCGTCTTCCCATAAGTCTTTCTTTTCAACTTGTGAACAAAATTTTCTCCCCCTGTATGTCTTCGATGAATTTTCCCAACTTTTGAAACGTTTTTGAGAAATAACTTCATATTTCTATGTTAAATGGAACAAGATAGAAATATTTGATCGAGTTATTTGACTTGACTCTATTCAAAAGTTTTTTTCGGTGAAAACACTTGTTTTTTCTCTCGCTGCTATAACTGTTTTAAACGTGGAAAATAAATGCGAATGGAACAAATCAGAGTGATAGCGCACTATTTGTTTGCTAGATTTGACGATTTGAATTTAACTCATGAAAAACATAGTGTACCCCCTTGAATATATTTTTCTCGGTGGTCATTTTTATTCTACTTCCCATTTAATCTATTTTCTATGTAAAAATGAATGAATGTGTTAATTTTTCAGTATATTTTTCCTTCCGAATATAATGTTCCTGTGATGGATTTTCTCATTATGTGTAGGGTGTTTGAAAGATATTATCGTTTACCAATATCTGTGTTGATTATATTTTCGACTCGTAAAAAATTCCGAATAATTTTCCTTATATGAATGCGATAGAAGTTTTCAACTTTTGAAACAATTTCCAGGAAAAACTTCATTCTCCTATGAAATCCTATTTGGAATTAAACATCATGAGAACATTCATTCGATAGGTTAGGAATTCTGGAATTTTTGAAAATATCCTCGGTTATACTTTTTTCGGAGATTAATACACGCCTATTCCAAAAACCAATAAAATTCCTTCAGTTTCGTAAAACCGACCAATGCACCTTGCTTTTGTTATATGTGATATTCTTTCAATCTGTATTAACTGAAATATATGCGTTCTTTCAAATGACGTTCATTGCATGTTAACTGATTCAATTCAGTTCAAGTGAAATTTGTCAGTTCGTTCAGAACGAAAGAATAACACTAGAATTAACAGTAATAATTAACCATGCCGCAAATGTATACGCAGTACTTTGACAGCTGTAACTGTCAGATTATTTTCGAGTTTTCAATACAAGCGTCGTTTCAAAATGGCAAGATGTGGTCAAGAATATTTGAAATATATCGTGAAAACTTCAAAGTACGTTATTCCGACAGGTACAGTGAATAACCAGACGTCGATATATGGAAGCAGTTTGAAATATTTTTGAAAGAGAACCATTATTATCCTAAAGAGACTACATTAAATCAAGAGCTCGGATTATTTATGAAAGATTGGGCTTTTAACATAAAAAATGTTGATGGTAATGATTATAAAGACCATGTAAAATGTTACTGCGAAACACCTTCAAGAAAAATACTATAAACAGTATGCCCCAAAATTCAATCCATTTAAAGACATTAAATTCAAAGAAGCAGGGGATATAAAAAATGCAAAACGAAAGCAGCTTCAGTCTATTACCGACAAAAGGAAGCAAAGTCCACCTGCTTTGAATAAGGAAGAAATATATGAAATGATGAATTTGTGGAACGAAGTTTGCCCAGAAGGACTTGAAAAAAAGCTTCATCATATAACTCGAAGTAGCCTGAAGAGGAGGCGAAGCAGCAAGATGCAAAGTGAACCTTATAAGGAGGAGAATTAATCGAATGGCAACATAACCGGAAGAATTGAATAGTTCACTTTTTCCCAAACATGCTAGGGCGGCGCTCAGAAATCATCAGACAGCAAGTGGTCCGTGCCTATAATCACAACAATCTTCGTGTGTGAAATGTGAAATGAATTTCTGGCAATAAAATGTGCTTCATGGACTTTTCGTTTAGACAAGATCGAAAATAATAAGAAACCTGGAAAATATAATTGTACAAAAAAAATCTCCCTCACCTTTTTCAGCAGAGCCGTTATCATTCTGGGCTTGGAAGTCCTCAGCTTTATCGAGAAAACCTCAGCCCTGATGCTGAAATCCTCGTCCAGATTCCTCAGTGTGAACGTTTCGTTAAAAACGAGCTTATCATCAGCCGCCGCGGTGACCTTGGTAGTGAACACGTCGGTGTCATGTGACAGCGCCAGGACGAAGAATTCCGAATACTTGCTGTCCTTCAGAGGTTTCTGGGCTAGTTCGTATTGGAAATTGGACAGGGTGATTGTAGCTGAGTGTTTGGGTTCGGTTATGCGCCAGTCACTGTATTTCAGGTCACGGATTTTGTTCACTATTATTTTATATTTCAGATCTGGAAATATGGAACATTGTCAAGGTCACAATCAGATAAGAAAGCACTAAATACAAGAAATCCATTTTTTATGTTGAAAACGGGAGCAGATTAATTCCCAAAACGTCCAAAGATACGTAAAAATTCGATATTTTCTCTATACATGGTGTTTTACAGATAAAGGGAAATATTTCAATTGTACATAGGGGGGTCACCAAGGTGGTTCTGACATACTTTTAGCTTTCTGTTTATGATTGTTACGATGAGAATTGGTGGCAGGAAAACAAAAAGCATCAAATCCAGTTCAGTTTTTTCTCCTCTTTATGATTCCTTTGATGAACTCTGTCAATTATTACATACAGTGTGTTATTTTAATATTTCGAATAAATGTAAATTTTTCCTGAAGCCGAACCTGGATTTTCACTCCGCCCGATAGGTGAATAAATTTAGCGTCCCAAGTATAAGCTCCTCACCAAATTTGAGAAAAATATACTGGCTGGGTCAATACATATAGACGAATGAATAATTATTCGAAATCGATAAATCGCCCTGTATATCCGTTATGAAGACTCTAAGACCTATCAAATATGGTATTTTCAGAACCACCTTGGTGACCCCTATCTACCATTGAAATATTTCCCTTCACCTATGAAACACCCTGTATACCTTTATTTCTCTTCTCCAAACCTTTTTCAATACAGATTGTCAGTGACTAGTGAAATTTCCTTTTTTGGCTCTCTGATAGGAAAATTCTTCAAACGCAGTGACATTTTGGGGCAAATCATTTGATTTGTCCTAACTACACGTATATTGAAATAGTATTCATATCTTCATTTTATAAAGATGAGGAGAGAAAATCCCAAAAAATCTGGAATAATGAATGTACCATCTCCTCGATTAACCTACAGACAGTATTTTGTTTTTGTTTTTTTTTTTCAATAGTTTGAGATAGCATATCGCTGTATTTGATATAGGTAGTCATTTATTTCGGTAAACAGTCTGTTTATTTGAGATTTGCTAAAGAGGATCGCCTACCTGTCTCTAGAAGAATCTTTTCAGTCAACAATTCTTCAGACCATTCCCTGTCGTTCTTCTTTTTGATGGCTCTGAGAGCATTGGAAGCTTCTTTCATTTTCACGCACTCCGCATCTCTCATTTTCTTCAATTTGTAAAACATCGCGTCGGATTCTGAATCAGAATTTACCTAAAAAGAAACTCGTTTTATCACATCGTGAATGAAAACGTGAAATGCCAGCAAATTTCTTTATACATTATGCTTTGCGGTGAATGAGTAATGAAGCAATCGATAAGAGAATAACGAAGTTACTGTACAGGGTGATAATCGCAAAGCCGAATTATATACACAAATAGACACAAATTAAATAGGTATGTCAGTAATGCCCAACTTTCTCCCTGATCAATTTCCGCTACTTATGAAATATAATTTTCTTTCTTAGTTGATAGTTTTTCTGAATTCAATGACAAGATAAGATTTCTGGGTGAAAACTACCAATTCCATTTTTAACCAGTTTGTATGGTTTTTTTTTCGCTATCTTTAATTGAATGAGAAATGGCAAAGCCTGAGAATTTGTTTATGCATTATTTGTTATTTGTACAGTTTCTTACAGAAAGTTGGTATCATATAGGAAAAAATGATTGATTATTTTTTTTCAAATTTGACTTGGGCGTTGAAGTTTCGAATTAAAAAAGATGAAATATGGCCTACTCCATCGAGGTCACGTGACTTCCGCTACATGTCAAAAGATTAATTTTCAAAATTAATCGACTCCGACAATATTGTTCGAAACTTTGGTTAGATACGTACATCAGTAGTTTGGATGAATGGCTTCGTCACGAGTATTGTAATTTTTTTAGTAGGTACTGAACATCAACTTTGCATCAAACATAACAGAAATTGGTAGCAGGAATATTTTCTTCTGAAGAAGATGAAATTTTTTTCGATAATTATTGAATGAAATGAAAGTTACTAGAATGAAACAGTTTTGTCGAAGTTAAAATTTGTTCAATATTTTTTTAGCTATTGAAAAAATATCAATTTATGAAAGTTGCATAGAACGTTCAACTTTTTTCAGTAAACGTTCTTGAATTTATAACAAATAAGCCTATTCTCAGTTCAAGAAACTATTCTCAACTTCTTCAAAGCCAACCTCGCCCAAGTAGAAGTTCCAAAGTTTCTCACATATGTTACCAACCTTCTGAAAGACACTGTATGTCATGTCTGCATCAATCTCATGAATAGTTGAATTTAAGTTGCATCATTATGTTTTGCCTTATTGGGACAGTTGTTGTATTTTGATGACCTTTTAATTCGACTGGACACTTGTATAGATCCACCCTGTTTATCAATATCAAACCGCGTTTGTTTTCCTGTTGCATCATATCGCACCCAAACAAAAAGAATTCATCGCCGTCTAATCACGATTACAGCAAACAATGAAACAAAGTATATACCTGTATAGCTACTTACGTTGTTTTTGCAGCCATCAATCACTTCCGGACCTCCTACATTCATTCCATTGTCAATAATGTTAACGCTTTTATCGAAGTTATCCACGCAAACGCTTTTTCTTTTCCACCTGTTTGACTGTCTACTCTCGAACAAGTTTACCACGAATTTTTCATCAACAGACCTAACAAAGTTGTCACTGTCTGTGGTATTTGACTGATTTCTATATTGTACGGAGAGATCTTCAGTGATCTGGTCGTATTTTGACAGACCCTCAGTTGTTTCTGTGTCATACATAACCGAAGTTATGATCTCCTGAGTCTCATATTCTTTCTGGAGTTTGGTCTCACCCTCCAACTGTTTGACAGCTTCAGCTGGCTTACAACCCTCAACCGACTCATTGATGCTTTGCCTAACTTTGGTTGGATTGCAATGTGTGAAAGGCTTCCTGTTCTTGCAGTTTAGGCCACTGACAGACCTAACAAAGTTGTCACTGTCTGTGGTATTTGACTGATTTCTATATTGTACGGAGAGATCTTCAGTGATCTGGTCGTATTTTGACAGACCCTCAGTTGTTTCTGTGTCATACATAACCGAAGTTATGATCTCCTGAGTCTCGTATTCTTTCTGGAGTTTGGTCTCACCCTCCAAATGTTTGGAAGCTTCAACTGGCTTACAACCCTCAACCGACTCATTGATGCTTTGTCTAACTTTGGTTGGATTGCAATGTTTGAAAGGCTTCCTGTTCTTGCACTTTGGGGTACTGACAGACCTGATGAAGTTGTCATTGTCTGTGTCGATTGACTGCTTGTTATTTTGTACCGATTGTTCTTCAGTGGCTTCTGTGTCGTACATAACAGAAGTGATGATCTCCTCAGTCTCATATCCTTTCTGCCGTTTCATACTACCCTGCAACCGTTTGGCTGGTAGAACTGGCTTATCCAAGTCATTGAGGTTATGACTGACTTTGGTTAGATTGCAATGTTTGAATGGCCTTCTAGACTCGCAGTTTGGGGTGCTGTTCCACAACCCTGGTTGCTGAGGTTCGACTATGGCTTCAGTTATTATTATCGATTTTGGGGGAAGAGAAGGAGCTGTGTCTTTGCTGAGAATGATGCCGCTGTCGTCTGTAGATATGTCCAGGATATCTGGAGTTTCGTAGCTGGGAGCACAGCTGGATGATGAACGGCTGGAGCATATTGACCCAGCTAAGAATAAAAGCATATAGTCATTTATTATACAAAGGAAAATAAGTAGTATTTTAGCTTGAGGTTGTGAGCTAAAATCCAATATTTTTCCCGAGGTGGGATTGAATATGAAAGGACTTGCATCTTTCTCGAAGACGGTATTTTTTGCTAATTTTTTTTAGAACTAGCACAACAAAAGCCGTAAACAGTACTCATTCTTTTCATTAGAGCACAAATAATGACTTTACCTAGCCTATTTATCTATTGCGTGGTTATCTACATTCGAGCTGATGAACATAAGTTTGAGAAGAATGAGGATATACACTCGCATAATACAAGATCAAAATGTGATATTCATCAAAGTTACTCACGTTTACAAATATGTCAAAATTCACCTAATTACATAGGAATCAAAATATATAATAAGTTTAAACTTATATACAAAATTTATGAAAACTGTAACATATCATTTGAGACTATACTCAAAAGTTTTCTACTTGAAAATGTATTCTATTCCATAGAGCATTTTCTTCAGTTTTGATATGGTTTTACTTATTTTTTAATTTTGTTGTGGACGTATTTATAATGATTACTTTGAAATGATTTTAACTCAGTTTGTGAATGTATTCATATTGATTATTTGTCATCATTATGTTCGATTTTACAACTACTATCTACTTGTATCTTGACTATGCATTTTACTTATGTACAACCTTTTATGCTGCAATAAATCATATCATATCACTTCTTCCCGTGGGAAAAGTGATACATGATAAACCCAGCAGAGATGATATGTCAAACTTTTTCCCCGTTTTTCTCTGTGGCACAACCTTGAACTAAAATCTACAACTTCTTTCCCTTGTCTAATAAATAACTATATTCCGATGAATAATGGGGAATATTGTATTCCACCCATGCTGACCCACAACTTTCTTCAGGTAGTAAAACATATTTCCAAATTGTTTCTTCCTGATTTTGAAGTTATAGTTAAGTAAACCGAAGAAACCGATTCTGATATGACGCACTAGACCATCGATATGACACCCGAAGATAATTTGAATGAAATGTGTAGATTGACCCAAAGGTATGGTGAGGTAAAAAATACTGGGGAAACTTAAAATAAACAACTCATTCAACGGTCACGAAGAAAAAACAACGCTACTGACATATCGATGTAGACATCCAGCTTAGCATTTTGTTAATGAATTAATGATACCAAATTGTCTATTAAGTCTTTGATTTGGCCTTTACTGCCATCCTCATCATTTGGGTCACTCTGAATTCGCTTCAAATATGTTCATAATAGTTGCATGAACGAATAAATCGAGGATAATAACGAACTTATATGAAGTAGAAAAAGTTTCACACTGTATAGTGTCTTTAATCATTATGCTAATTTAGCGCTGATATCAATATTACTATAATTTGAATATGGACTAGTTACCTGCTGTATCAGGTAGTGTTTTGGTACAAAAACATAGTGTGCCAGTTTTTGTTGACATTAAGAAAGTATACTGAAATGAAACTAGAAAGCAAAACTGCATTTTCTAATCAACCTACCGGTTTTTCCTTTCTTTTCGGTCTTCCTTCCAATGATGTATTTGATTTTGTCGTAGTATTTTGACGTCTTTGTTTTCTCAACCATCTGAAAAATATTTGAAACATTTGATTAGATGTTTATATACCGGGTGTGTCTAACTCTGAATGCTCCCTTTTGAATGTCAATTATATGTTATCTGACCTCAACTGAAGTTGAAATGGTGCGGTTAGGGTTAGGTCCTGAAAACCATTCATAATAACATCACTATTGAACCTTGATATGCAAATATTCACTAATTAGGGAACATTTATAGTGAAACAGTTTATTCTTTTCAATCGAAAAAACGTATTGACAATCAACATTAAAACGGTGTACTGTGTTCACGGATGACTTGATATGAAGGCATATTAACAGCAGGTATGTCGATATAACAAGATATGGCTTCACATATCAGATTTTATAGTTTGTTGTGGTTGCATATCTTCCTTCTCTCAATTTTTTTTCAAATAGAGAATAATTTCATTGATAATCAAGGAAATACTGTGGATAGCTGTAATTCTTCAGGAAAACAGAAGGTATAACATACACAGAAATAAATTTTTGTTTGAAACTACAAAATTTTTGTTCAACAAAATCTGAGTGTCATATATCCATGACAAAATATTTTCAGTTTTCAATACAAAATTAAATTGATGTAACTAATTGATGATTCAAATTAACAGCAGGAATTGGTTGAATGAACAAAGAATATTTGGTTCCTATAATACAATATCTGCTCTTGTCAAAATAACAACATATATTCTTCGATCAAGCAAATTGTATTTTGAATTGACAAAATATTCTGCTGAATAATATGAAAAAAACAAGACTATTAGCTTGCATTAACGTCATAACAAATCCCAGGACAGCCTGATATAATTATATAAATGGATCGAATCGAGGCAAGCGTAGGAAGGTTAGAAGAAACGCCACCTGGTGGCAAAAATGCAACTAGATAATCATTCAACAAAATATTTGTTTGATATAATGTTTTTATATGTTCTGTTCAATAAAGTAATTCGTGTGAAATAACAACATATTTCTTGATAGTGATGTGTTGAATCAACATAATATAATGTTGTCATAATCAATTCAATTTTGTCGAATAGAAAAAAACCTTTGATTGGTTGCACAATGAAATGATTGTTGACTCAACAAAATATGATGTTGTATTCAGTTAATCTTTGAATTGATTTAATTTTTTCGTATAGACAAAATGCATATGATTGATTGAACAACAAAATTTGTCTTATATGCCAACTACAAATGTTGTTGAATCAAATGAAACTTTTGTTCAAGTAAGCAAATATTTCAATCAAATTATTTTGCCTCTTTGACTAGGTTGCTTATTTGGAATGAACATATATTTTGTTGATTTCGCAAAATTGTGTTCAATTCAACAAAAAGAAAATTATTTTGTTGGTGCAACAAAACTTTTTTTTTCGTGTACATAGTAGATATGGATGAATAATTATGCATGTACAGAGTCTTCACTTTTTAATTTGGTTTTCACATTTTTTTTCTGAAGAAATGTACTTTCATACCTAATTGTTCATATAAACATTTCATATATATTAACAAATAAACATTGGAACACCTTTGTGATAATAGCCCTCGATCATTATATGCTTGTTGAATAATATACTATTAGTTCCTGATGGTTCAAACTGATTATGAATTATGATTGTGATCTATAAATATCATTATTTTGTTCTCATGTAATTTCAATGAACACACTCCCTATAATAATATGTATGTACCTATTGTAAATCAATACTCACTCTCTTCACTCTAAACAATACACTATCGAACCCACTATCTTTCATTTTATCACAAGAACCTATTCAACGTTCACTGACGATATGCACTGGTCCAAGAATCAATGTGAATAATAAGAAAACACAAATTACCAAAAACTTTATACATAATTATCTCTCAGGCCCTAACGACCCTGCTAAGCAGATAATCTGGCAAAGTTCAAGATTATGTGAATTTAATGGCATTGAAAGGAGTCAGGTCAGACATATCATGTTAGGGATGTAAATAATCCTTGGATAATGGGTGAATAGGTATGTGTGGGGTTTTGCCGTTTACTGCAAAGCAGAATTAGATCTAAAAATAATATTAAATTCCGGAGAATTAGATGATGATGATGAACACAATTATGTAAATTGAGATGAATCTCTTGAATTGCCTGCATCTAGTTCCCCATAGGAAATCGGTGAATTCTTTGGGTATTTTAATTGATGATGATCTGAAATTTTGGAGACAGGTTGAATCAATGACACAAAGAGCATTCTGCAATTTGAAATTATTATACGCTGATAGATTAATTTTGAATAGGAAGCTGAAGATAATGCTATCTGAAACTCTTGAGCCTTCTTTTCTTTGACCTTCCAGTAGTCGCGCCTTAAAAAAGACATAGTCTGTCGCTGCGGAGTCTGACTCCGCAATGGAGAATTTGGGTGGTTTGAACATGATAACTTTAATTTTTCCAAAGATTTCATCAGTATGCCTTTGGATATGAATATCTCTACGAAGTGAAATGTCAAAATTGCAATTAAAATATATTTATTCAATACCAAAACCCAAAATTACCATAAGACAACTAACGAAGATTTGATAACTAGAATTCGAACAAAAACACTATAATTTGAGGACAAACTGAAAATGTTCCAATCTCAGATCACCAATGACTCATCGGCAATCTCTGCAAATGAATGAAGCGGGTTCTAATAAGCCCATGAATTTTTCACATTTTTTTTATCACAGTAGCATCGATCATGTGTGTTTACGAAACGGTATTTTATGGAATATCATTCATCAAATGAGACAAAATTTCTGCCTAGAACGCCCAAAATAGCTGCAAAGTGTAACTGCAATATGCAATATAACTAAGACGTCTAAGGTCGCTGCGGAGTACGACTCCGCACTACGCTATGAAATTCAAAAACTATGCAATTTTGCACATCGGTAATACTCGATTCGTACTGAAGTCGTCATTTTAGGAAGGTACTGAGTGCGGCGGAATGAGGGAATGAAGTATATTCGAGAAAACTCACGTTTTATATTCGTGCGGAGTGATACTCCGCGTGCGACTATATTGTTGTGTATGGGCCATTCTTGAATGTCATTCAAAAAAACAAAATTCATAACTCTTGTTGTCGGTTTATCTGTATGGTCTACGAAAATATGATCATGACGAATCGGCGAACACTACAATATGGTTAATTAAATTCAATACTGACAACTCCAAGCAACTACGTTGATTATTCTGGATTGATATAACAAGTTTGAAATTTTTTCCTACAGGAGTTTCGAAGAAATTATATGCAACTCTTTTTTTTTGTATTTTTGACACCCTGTATCTCAGAGAGGATGCATTGTAGGACCACCGTTGATGATAACTTCCGACCTAAAAATGGGGTTGGGAATTCATATACGAAGTTTGTCGGTCTTATTCTGACTCACCCTGTGTATTATTCGGTGTTTCAGTAATTTTTCCCGGCGTTCATTTCGACATTTCATAGCTCATCGTCACTCGATCCCTATGCTAGGAGACAATGGCTGCCATATTTCTGTGTTCACCTGTTGGACTTGCAGGAATTTTGCGCCAAATCCATAAAGATGCTATGTATTTATCTGTTTCGTCTGACTGAAAGACAGGCCGCTGAGAAGATCTCACATGGGCGTACCTATGGCGAGTGAACTAATCGTTTGTATTACTTAAATAGAATCATCACTCAAATAACTTTCAATTTCTCATCTTTTTACCTATTTAAGGTGCTAAAATCATCAATAATGCCACGGTAATTTTCAAACTTATCGCGAGTAAAAACTGACGTCAACATTTCGTGAGGAGTGGCAGACCATAGCATAGTTGCCATATGTTGAAATACGACACTGGAAACTTCAGAAATATTATTTATTCAATAATTCATAATTTCTCAATTATATATTGGTATAATTTTTATTCCTAATTATCAATAAAAAATCATCAATTGTCTCAAAATTTTCCCTCATGTGTTGTGACTAATGTAGGTATATGAAAGTTTGTCAAATCATTGTTGATTATGAGATTCGCAAAAATTCTAGAACCATTTCGAGGAAGACTTTCGCCTCGAAAAAATTAAAGATTGTTTCCTTCCAAACAGGATGCTTCAGAAATTTTTGAAATGCTGCACAGTTTTGATTATTATCCTGTGAAATCTCATTCTCGAAAGACTTTTTTCTCTGAATTCAGATGCTTTTCTTCCATATTTCTATACAGGGTATTCCAAAAATTCACGGTAGAGAATCACGGCGGGTACGTATTCGTATGCATGAATAATGAAGTAAGACGTTTCGTTTCCTATACAAGGTGCAACTTCAGGAACGCTTCTTGTTTGATAACAATACTGTCGTTAACTCATTCACGCCTACCGTCCTTTCAAAAGGACTTCAAAACGAAACCGGTAATTTTCCGATTCAGCTGATGGTTTGAAGATGTCGTCAGTGTCCCATTATATTCAGTTGACATATTGAATGAGGTCAATCGCGATCGTGAGGATTTCGTTGAGTTTTGGATCGATAGTGACGTGTTTCTAGTAATTTTGCAATGGGTGACTCAAGGTAAGACATGTAGAGACTCGTTAATTTTTTCGTTGTTGTATCCATTATTTTTAACGAATAACATAATTCACCCACTTTTCTTTATATTCGTGGTTATGCTTCACACTTCTCGATCAATCCATCCCGTGACGAACAATTGAACGACTCCTTTTAAAAAGACGGTAGGAGTATATGCTACTATGCGTTTTTTTCTGCAGTTATTGGAAAAGCCACTAACCATGGCGAAGCCCTTATAGAGGAATTGAAGAATGACTCTGCGCCGGACATTCCTACAGAAATTATAATTTTTTATCCCTAAATGCCAACGAAAACTGCGATACCGATGAAGATTCTGGGGCTGAAGACGATGTAGTTCCAAATAATTCACCTGGATTGCAACTAAGGGCCATTGCGTAAATTGAATTTAACGTGGAAGGTGATGACGACGGGACAGTGATCACGTATCACCCACGTATCATTCCTTTTTTTATGTTCTGGTTCCCACGAAAAGGGATATCCTGTAATGTTCAGAGAACATCGTGAGAACCAAGGAAAATAAGGTAGGAATTGGCGTTCTTCTCAAATTTCTGGAGGTTATATGCCTCGGGGAACACCTCCCTTGGCGA